CGGCAGGTAGCACCGTCCCACCGACCCGGGACCGCCTCGGTCCGCCGGTGGGGAGCGGTGGGCGCCCTGTAGCTCCCGCCGCTTGCTGCCTCACTTCCATGGGGGCCCGAGGCGACCGGCCGGCTACAGCGGGAAGCGGCTTTCTAAAGCCCTGACCCCCGATGGAGCTAACAGAGGGCTGGGTCCCCGGCTCTCGAATCTGCCGTGGCGGCGACGGAAAGCAGCTTCCCCCATATGTAACCGCCGGCAGCAGTTCGTTAGCAATTGGTGAGGGGTCACACGCAGTTCAAGGTCAAGTTCAAGGAGTGGCGCGGGCAATGCGCCCCAACTACACAATACCCTGGTCCTCGGGTGTCTCGCTGTGTGAGGAACTGCCTGGTATTCACATCACATCCACAGCAAATACCTACTTTTCCAGCCATAGTGCATTTGAGGCTATATGCACCTGCTTACACCCATGAGCAAAATAAGCTCAAAACAAGCTGGATATAAAATACATAACACAAAGAACACTGTGAAATCCACAGAAGCCATACTGCTGTTTTGAGGCCCCCATCTCCCTATGAAACACTTGCCATTGGTATCTGTAGACCCTGTCAGTCTGATAACTTCAATCAGATCTATCGATATTTGTTTAAAAAAAATAATAAGTTAGATGATGCATGGATGAAGAACCACCAAGTCCAGACCATTTCCACAGCAGAAAGGTGATGGCTCCACATGCAGAACTCCTGATGTGCTCAGAAACTTTCTTTACAACAAAAGGAACATACTCTTTTTTTTCCAGTACAGTAAACATCAGACAGCTTGTTCTTATACCAAGGAGAACCACAGAACCTATTGTCACTTAAGTCTGGAAGTTATGAAGTTAGCCAGCCATTCTTCCCCATACATCTCTAAAGCAGCAAGCCTCACAAATCTGAAGGATTTCAGACTAAATATTACTCTTAGCAATCTTTTTTTTTATTTTTTTTTTTTTTTTTTTACAAATAATGACACCCATTGTATTTTTACAGGCAAAACCACAACAAACTGAAAGAAAAACAATCAACCTTGTATTTCAAAGTGTCTGTCAGTGGGTAGCTGCATATTCTGTACTCCTTACTGAGGCTGAGTTCTTGATTGACATTTTAACTGTGGTTGCCAAAAGTCTGATACCTATGGATTGCCCAGACTTGGTTACTTTATGGAGACCAGACACAGCTTTCATCAAAGTTCCTACGTTATCACTTATATTACATTGTCATTTTGTTATTGCAGTATGTGATTCTGGTATACATTACTAGGAATTCATCATGATGAATTCTGGGAACAAGGGCAGAACAAGACAGTCAGTATTTAGGAAACAGAGAAGGCAAAAGACAACTCCATAGAGAATTTCTAACCTGGTACATGCTTCCTTTGATCTTTCTAGACAGAGATTTTTACAGAACAATTTTGTTACAACACCCTGGGGCAGAGGAAATTTAAACTTCCATATACATTTCAGCATCAAACTTTCCATGTGCAACTAGAAAAAAAACAAAGTTAAGTCACCTATGAAATTAGGAGACTCAGTGAAAAGTCATTCTGAATTCATAGCACAGTTCTAGGGCATTGTAGATTTTCTGTTCATCCAAATCCCTAATTAATCAATCACCTTCAACAAAGCAAAAATGCATTAGAACTGGACAGCTTCTCCACTCCAGCCTATGGGCTAATTAATCCCATGTGCAATTCAATTGAAATTAATGGCAAAAGGCACATTGTTCCTCTCCTGAACACAGCCTAGCCTGGTCTCCAAGTCCCAGGACTGTAAATATCGTGAACAATAACCACATCAGTAGGTGAGGCATTCTCAAGGAAGAGTTACAAGAACTGCTCTGAATAATACAAGAAGGAGCAGTAGCAGAAAAGCCATTTCCAGCAGTCAGTGGAGGTGTTGCTGTTGTGGCATAAGCAGAAAGAATACTGCAGGGCCAGGGATTTATGTTCCTCTACTATGACACCAGCATTAAGGTTAGAAAACTTACCTCTAAAAAGGTAATAAAGTGCTTATAGCACTGTCACTGACTCTTTGAAACCCAAATACTTTGAACTTTCACTTTTTTTTTTTACTATTAAACTAGAATGACAGTATTTCTATTTCTTCTGCAAGCATGTGCAAGACAGGGCCTTGAATGTAGAAACCACTGTTGTGGGTAGAAACTCTCTTTTTTGCTGCAGTCAGCTCCACAGGTAGCCAGGACTGACTTAGAAAGGGAGATGTATGCTTTGAGTGTCTAGTCGCAGCGCTTTCAGAGATCATCCTCCCCACATGTCAGGTAATATGCTTTTGTAATGCTAGCATATTCTGGAGGTATGTGATACAAATTAAAAAAAATGTTGTTTTCTATATGCTATTCTGTTCACCATAGCAGCTTTCAGGGGGAATGGGGGGATTACTTTTTGCTTACCTGTTAGGCCAGAGGGTTGTTCACACAAATCAAAGTAATCCCTAAGTGTTAGCAGCAAGACTGGAGACAGAACTAAAACATGAGGTGGTAGTGTTTAAAAATAAGTTGTTAAACAACTCAACTTCAGACAACTCTGTCCTTTCCCTTGTCTGCTGGTCTCTGAGTAATGACTCAAATACTGGAAAATATGTGGTAATGTAAACTGGCATGAAGAAGCTCACATGGAAATTCATTTGCCTTTATTTGGGGTCTATAGAAGATACAGGAATATGCATTCCTTCTTCCAGAAGTTATATCAGTTCTTATATAAACAGAATTGGGTATACAGAAGTAGAAGTCAACCTACAACTGCACTTAACTTGAAATATAATCCTACAGGCCAATATAACTTTAAGTGTCCCTTCTTAATCAGATCGGTCCAAGTGATGGACCAATGACTAAACAGGAGGTATCCAATACTTTACACAATGCACAAAAGAACCCAGACTTTCCCTCATGTTGTTGTCAGAATTGACCACAAATGTGACACTTTCCTGGTACAAACTGAAAGGTGTTTAGGTATGGCTGACAATTAAAAAAGAAAAGCTCACACCCAACATAAAGAGCTTCACAGAAGAATTATCCTTCAAAGAAGAATCTCAGAGGGCCATCTAACTTCATGAGTAGAGCAAGAAATAGCATAGACCTAAAACCAAAAAGGCATGCAGCTGTGTGAAGTACAGACCATATACCCTGATTTATATCTGGCATTCTACTACTTACTGTTCAGGACTTGTGGGATTAACTAAGGTCTGAGTGCAGATAATATACACAATTTTTTTCAAGATAAACAGAATGCTTATGAACTAGATGTTTTACTTTTGGCTGAATTTTGTGACCAGGAGTAATTAAGTACATATTATCCCCAGTTCATAAACACCTGTTGAAGGTTCAAGACATAGATGCCATGTAATCTCCATACATACATACATAAAACACCTTTGGGGACCTGTTAAGTGTTTCACATATGCCATGTATGACAAGTGAGACCTATAATTACACCTCTACCTAATTTCTTTGCTTTTCATAGTTTTGTTCACACAGGGAAACATGCAAATCTCCCTGCAGCCTGCTCAGCCCTCTCAGCTCCTTCTCACATCTGTGATTACTTAGAGCACTCATCACCTCAGAAACCACTTGGCTAATAAAGACACTCCTTCACTGAAGTGATTGTGGGGTGGATTTCTAATCAGCTAGTATAGTCTTCAAGTAAAGCCTAAGACTGGACTAACAGATGCTACAATTTGTTAAAGTCCCACTGAATTAAATTAAAATGCAATGCTAGGAAAGCTGATGATGTCTTAATGGGGCTTCTGTGGTATGCTGTTCCAAACAGAATAGCTTCATAAGCAATAAAACCATTTGACAGATTGTATCAGACAGCTGTTTATTACAGAGGTGAATGACCCTGGACTAACAGAGAATGGGAAAAAGCAACACAGAAGCAGTCCACTGTGAAAGGATAGGAAGTCTTTCTTAATGCCTTAAAAGATTCTGAGGAATGTTACATTCTTCATCTTTAATATATTGCCTGCTTACACAAGTTTTCCTAAATGTGTTTGTCAAAATTATTTTGCTTTAAAGGCCACAGAACCATTAGATGCTGACGACAGTTTTTAGGGATTATTGACCCAAGTCCCCTATGAAACAGTACCCTGTTACAGGCCCTTTAGCCCGCCAGTAACTCTCTCTCCAGCCAATGTTTCCGTATGGAAAATTGTTACAAGTATTAAAACCTTATGTGTTTTTTCTGAGGGGGAAGTGGTGTTTAAAAACAGGTGGAACTGTGTTTACATGCAACTATTTGGGAAAAGCAGCTTTAACTTTGGAGAAAAATCTTTTCCCGGAGTTACTCGTTCTCTTCCTTTGCTTTGTTGTGGTAATGCTAACACCATTTGAAGTGGATTTGCCACATTCAGTGTGGAAAAGCAAGAATGTAAGCACACACTACCTATGCACGCAAATACATGGTTAAAACAAGAGTATAAAAACAAAGCAACTGAAATAGGAAACATTAGTCTCAGTAACGTTCCTCACAAACTCCAATATAAACCAGAGCTGAATATTTTAAATGTTACACTTCCATAGTGGAGCTGGGTAGGGTAGATACTGACTATTTGGTTCTGCCTGGTGAGCATTTGTGAGCCATACCTCCTCACAAAAGAAAAAGTTTAATCCAAACAAGTTATGAGATTTTCTGGTAACCCAAGAGGCACAGCTTAGCATCGATGCACCTCGCCATGTGAATTCTGGTACATTTTTCCAGCCATTACATCAGACATCCTAAAAACATGCCAAAACTCTAAAAAAAAACCCTCTTCAAAAAACCAAATCCAGTATTATCAAGCAAACCTGAACAGGGATGCAAGTTTTGTAACTGCTTTTCCCCAACTTCCTAGCTTTACAGCCTAATCTTGTACTGAAGAGAAGATTAAATAACAATTAAAAAAGAACCTTGATTTTTATATTAAGTACATTTTTAACTATATATTCACTTCAAAACAAACATACCAGAGGAGTTAGAAGCTCTGTTAATGCTATCCAGTGTAGTACATGCTAGCTGTTATGTGACAGGTGAGCACTTAACCAACATCTGGTCCAAAGGGAAGTCTGAGTCTGCAAGGTAAAAAATAAGAAATCTTGAATTATTTTATACCAGATCTCAAAATAATAATGCTGTCAAAGCAGACAAAGCCAAATCTATCTGTATCTAAATTCGCAGTGGATAGGAAATGCGAAGAAGAACAGTACAGAGACAGCCAAACAGCCTGGAAGAAAGATGGGTCACATCCTGGGCATGTCTAACTGGCATGGCACTCAACCATTCCCAGTAGCTCTTCCATAAGGTTGTTTAACCCTCAGAAATTATCCAGAGCCAAGACAAATCCACTGGGGCCTGTTCTACCCCATGAAACTACATCTAATTCTATTTTGCATTGTAAACAAACACCTGGCCAAAAAGGTGTAGATATACCTTTGATTTGGCCAGGGCAGTCCCAAGATGCATATATCACTCCTATGAGAATCAAGACATTATTTCATCACACCTTACGCTAGGACAGAGGATTTTCTATCCCCACTCTCAGTGTGTTCCTGACAATTCATCTCTAACATGGCAGAAGGAGGGGAAAAAAAAAAAAACACTATTGACTTCAGCACTTGCAACAGGTCACAACTTAATGCAGGCATTTTTCCCCTCCTTCAGCAGGAGTTGTTGGAGGGACATCCTTCTAGCTTTGTCACATAATAATGCCAGGGAGCAAGCTCTGGTCAAATGACATATCACAAGAAGCAGGGCCCACATATATCTAGACCAAAAAAATGGTTACCCTGGTCTCTACTGCATGGACTGCTTCCAAGTCATCTGAAAACTAATCCAGCTGCATCAGCCCAGAGTTCTCATGCGCTAATTTATTCTGCTCCTAGCTAATAATTCAATATATCTGCCTCTGGGCAAAGTAAATTAACCTATAAACCTATACACAACCTGGTGCTGTCCCACCAAACAGCGGAAGTACTGGAAAGGTAGCTCTATATTATACTAATCTCAATCAGAATAGTTCAAAGAGCAAAGAATATTTCTGGACTGCATAGACAAGCAGGCATGGGACAGAGTGCCCTTCAGGTTACACCAGTTGACACTGCCCTTTCAATCTCAAAAAGTGGCCACCAAGGAGTTCCAAGCAAAGGAGCTAGGAAATTTATTCCCCAAGGCATGCCTCACCTTAGGGCTGCAGAAAGAGAAGGTATCATAGCTCTTGCTATTTTGGCTCTCCATCACTAGAACCCCTCCACATGACTGACTCAATTACCAGCATGACATGTCACATCATGTCATGAGACTAAGCAGGACTGGGTTTTTTTTTCCCCTACTATACCCAACCAAAGCCCAGTAAACACTCATCCCATAATCTTATTTTCAGCGTGTTTATGAGCAGGCAAGAAACAAGAGGCTGTGAACTATCAGCCAGCAGGATTCCTGCCCTGTACTTAGGGAATTGGGTTGTTTTCACTCATTCAGCTAGGCAAAGATAATGTTGGCAATAAATTTGAAGAGCCTGAGGGAAATGGGGAAGAGCTGTCAATCATTAAAGAGACTAATGAAACTTGAATAAGGTTTCAAATTCTTAACATACCACAAAACGTTATTTCCTTTACAGACAAATTTAGGTAAGGTGATCATATAATTATATGTCACTTACTGCTCAGCACTTTATATATAGCCCTGACTTTTTACTATTCTTCAGATGACTTGAAAACTCTGCCAACTGCCTTTGACCTCCAACTAAAAGATTAATCTTGCCATGGAAAGTGTGATTTGCATAGCAGCAAAAAGGGAACTATCTTTCACCCAACAAAAAAATCTCAAGTCAAAAAATCTACACACACAACAATTACTGAATTACTGAAACCATTTCTTTTCCTGAACACAAGCAAGCAAAGAGAAATTTTGTCTGTAAATAAAAAAGAATTAATTTTGATGGACAGTTTGGTTGCCTGAATAAAGTTAACTGAGCAAATAAAGTTACATTGAAACATGACATGAATACAAGCTTTGTATACCATACCATAGCCCACTGGGCTGGCTGGGGCTTTGCCCAGTGGTACCCTCAGGGAGGTGTAGCCAAGTCCCTATTGAGCAGATGCAAACTCTGCAGAGACTTGCAGCATAGCCACAGTCAAGCAGATTTTCAGAGGGACATTTGTAGCACATAGGATACAGCCTCCCATTTCCAGCCCCTCTTTAACTTACACCCTCTTAGAGAAATGTACAGGTGTTCTCCGGCCTTATTTTACTTGGGAAAAATTGCACTGGTTTAACTTCATCCAGTTTATTCAGATGCTGTGATTAAAGCCATATAAAATTATTATGTTGGTTTAAGAAAGTTTCATTGCAGTTTACCCTGTATCAAGATACCTTTTCTATTCTAAAGCTAAATATGAACTCCTATCAAATTAAGTGCCCACACAGCTTAATTACACTTATGTAACCTTTTCATAGCCTTAGCACAAATACAAAGGAGAATACCCTCATCATACTGCTGACTCTTCTCTGATCCTTATAATACACACCTGTTCTACCCAAATCAAATTAACTGTCTGTAATATCTTGTGCTTAGAAAACTTTTCCCTTAATTTTATTCTAATTTGACTGAAACAAATAACCTTCACATAGTTAGGGAAAAGAGGCACTTCAAAGCAACAACAACAAAATCTCAGTGCTTCAAACTTGATAGTGTGGTATGGCTCTCTTTTTATAGGTGGCATTCTTTTTATAGGCAGCATTCTTTTTATAGGCAATTTAAATTTGGTTTAGTAACCTGGCAGTCAGCTATTTTATTTTTTAAACATGGTCTCCTACTTTGGCCCAAAATCAAATCATTAACAAATAATCACATCTGTGTGTCTACATATATAACTTTAAAAACACACCCTAAGATAGAACTCTCAATTTTAATTAAATTAATTTAAAACCCCATGCTTTTTGGCATTAAAACAATCTTATCTTGCTACAAATGAAAAATAGGCATATATCAATTTCAGGAAGAAAAAAAACACAAACTAAACTTATTCCTCAATACTCAGAAGACTGTATTACAATTATGACTCCACCATTAAAATATTAAAGTCTTGGGATACATATTTAGCTCTGCAGATACTACTTTAGCTGTAGTACGATGCACACTCATTGAAGACAACAGAAGTCAAGGGCAGCCATGTCTGTTCTGCATCCTGTGAAAATCTTTGAAGAATTTAATCAAATAGATCTGACCCTCCACATCTTAGCTACATGAGACTTGATCCTAAGAGTCAGAAAATCATAGAATCATGGGTTTTCTTCTTAAGTGTAAAAATCTTTCATTTAGCCCATATTTTCTAGAGAGCGATCAGGTGTATGAATATTTTAATTTATCTTCCTCCTAAAAATCACTTCAGCCACTACTTTATTTTCTTTCTGGAGATTCTACCCATCTCCTGTAGTTTTTCATGGATTCCCTCCACGCACCATTTTACAGCACTAAGACCTGGCAAAAGCAGGATTGCTTTATTCACTGGTTGAAAGACATTTCCTCTTTTGAGCCTACATTTGACAGTACATGCATGGAATTAAACTTTTCAGTTGATTTCTGTTTCAACTTTCTGTTGATAAACAGGTACTTTTGATAATGTTACCACCTATAAATATGAGAATATGAGAGCATAAATATTAAGTTAGGTGAAGATGGATGCATCATATTGTTATGTTCCTTAAAGGTGATTAGTATCTGTTATCTATCCCCCTGCATGGCTCCCCTTCAATGGGGAAGCCTGTACATCCTCTCCACAAAATCCATTAAGTTACACTGCATCACAGTTACACTGCACTTGTAACTAACTTTAGCATAACTAGACTGTGTTTGGAACCTGCGAAGATTTATGGATATGCTTGACATAGCAGCATCCTTGAAGACTTAACTGCTCCTCACACAAAGTTATTCACTGAGGTAAGGCTTCACAGGCACAAGTTCAATGAACACAGGATGCAGGAACTGTGTCTTGCCAGGGCACAATGCTAAAATAGCAAGTAAATGCAAGTAGCAAATGACATTCAAATAGAGAAGTCAGTGAAAGTAAGTACATGTTTAAAAGTACAATTCCTTCCTCATAGCTCTGTCCATAACGTTACTAAGCAGCATGAATTTGCAGTCACTCTACTGCTGCAATTACAGAGATCTCTCAGATAAAATTGGTACAGCTTCAGTCTGCAATCCGAGCCATTTCTGGACCCTATCATCAGCTTTATTGGAAGAAGGTTCAGACTATTTCACTTCACAAAGAGTAAATAGACAGTCAATTTATAGTGGTTTTCATACTCTCTGCATTTTCTAACATGAAATTAAATACATATTTGCCTTTTTCCTCTGTTTTCTGACATATGAAGCAGCAGATGCCCTGATGAGGAATCTCAATATCTTAAAGAATTGAACCATATGTTGTAGAACTTACTGCACAATTGCTGGGTTGATGACAATGGTTTCACAGAAGCACACTAGAAATACCATCAGTGATGGCAATCACTGGCAAGTCATTCTCTAGTCAGGGAGGGCATGGCCTTGACAAACAGTATGATGTCCATATCTATCTGCTGACCAAACGTGGCGAGTGAATTACATATTGTAATCAGCACAGAGCAAGAGCACTATAAAGCCAATCAGCCAGTTTATTCTGGGATCTTCTTATTGATAAGAATTGTACGCAGAGGAAACATGGCATTACAGACATCCAGAGTGTCACCATGCATCTGGCAAGCTCATGGTGCACGTATTGCATGAATTAAACACTAAAAACGTTTCTTATGAGTCTGCCAGGAAACACCATCACTCTTTAAACCAATGATAATTCACCCTACCTGAAGGATCTTACTTTCTAGTCTACCCTTAGTTTCTAGTGTACAATTCAAGCATTTCTCATGGAAATCAATTTTTGGCAAATAGCTGAAGATATCTTCCTGTCTCTTCTAGATCAACCTTACAAAAAAATGTAAGAGATACAAAATTTCTTATGCATTTCAGAATTCAGGAAAATTCAGTATCAACATGGTAATACTTACAGAATAGTATATTAAACTGTAAGAGATCTCTATCACTGTAGTGTAACATACATTGTTGAGTGACAAAATGATGCAATGAGACCTTAGAGGCTTGATCATGCTCATCTGAAATCAATAGTTTTGCCTAAATATCAGTGGGAATAGGCAAGTTGACCACTACAGACAATGCTTCCAGAACTGTTAAATGCTTAGCAGCTCTCACTTAATAACAGTAATAAGGACTTGCTAGGTGCAGACTGAATTTGAAGTCTGGCTTAAGATTTGCCTCTCATGTCCTATTGAGTACTGACATATTTTGAAAATCTGTGTGCCTATTGATAGATATAAATTCAGATAATGGGTCCCTTTAAAATTTTACTCCAATATATACACAAAAAATCTATTAACACACTGTTCAGCCTATTAACATACCATTCTTAAAACAGGAGTTACTCAGAAAAACCTAAAGCCATAGACAGACACATTCAATCTTAAAAATCTACTGCCAATCCTTACAAAGAGTTCATTAGTGTCATAAAATTGATAATTTCAGCACATCATCCCCTGCATTCTGCTGCTTCTTTAAACCAATGGCATATTTAGCATTGCTATTAATAAAAACTCACTGCAAGAAGCATTCACTTATACAAAAGCATCTAGGTCTTGTAGCTGGAGAACTGAGTCATCTGGTAACAACAGATTTCAGGATGTCTCTTTTGACTGCTCCTGTCTTTTGGGAGACTGCAGAAGATTCATTCTCCCCTCTCCCCCACAGCTTTAATGAGCCTAACTCAGGCATGACAGCAGTTTATCTTACACAGCATCTTGACAGATTTTTCTGTCCTAAATTTTATTATTGTCTGCTTTTGTCCCATAATGATGCCTACAGGTGTTATCACAACCTGTTACCTGCTGCCTGCTGGATACAAGCGGGGGGGGGAGGGAGGAAGCATTATCATATAAAATTCTCAAAACTACTTTTTATTCAACCCACAGAATCCATATCATAGCTTCAGATAATAGCACAGAGGTATTTACTGTAGCATCCATGAGTATTAGATTGCTGACTATTACCTGTGAGTCAAAGAACTGCATAGTAGCTCTCAAGAACATGTCATAGTAGCTGTCATACACTATAAAAATCACTTTGCTTTTAGAGTACCGAGTTCCAACTGCATGCTAATTTGCTTCCTTTCAGGTAGAAATGAATAAAAGATGACAAAAACAACTGCTTTGTAAATGCTTTTTACAACTTCTATCAGCACATAGCTACAGTCTAAGCAGTGTTGCATCCTATAGCTAGGCTTGCAACTCATCACCTAGCTAGGATACTCTTATCCTACCAACACCGTTTATCACAGAATGGCTTGGGTTGGAAGAGACTTTCAAGATCATCTAGTTACAGCCCCCCGGCATAGGCAGCGACACCTTCCCCTAGACCAGGTTGCTCCAAGCCTCGTCCAACCTGGCCTTGAACACTGCCAGGGATGGGGCAGCCACAACTTCTCTGGGCAACCTCTGCCAGTGCCTCACCACCCTCATAGCAAATAATTTCTTCCTAATACCTGGTCTGAATTTACCTTCTTTCAGTTTAAAGTGTCCAGTCACTACATGCCCATGTAAAAAGTACCTTTATCTTAGGAGATGCACCCTTTCTCCTATTAAATATTCCATCCTACTTCACGTAGGGTGTTCAAGAGAAAGACTATCCTGGAATCTGCAGGATTCATGCTGGCAAGGAAACAATTTTCAACAGCCTTGCCACCAAAAGAAACATATGCTTTTCAGAAAGGCTGAAAAAAAAATAAAAGTGCCTAATACATAAGGATAGCGAGGCGGCTACGGATGAAACATTCATACATCAAGAGATGGAGCAGAGCACCAAATAAATTAGCACTTACAATGACTGAGAAATGCCAGGCTAAAAGTACGTCAGAAAAGTAGCCGGGCATGTAATCCTCAGCATTCAAACAACAAATATTCTTACTCACCCTTGTTAAAGCTGTTCCATTTTGCATGCAATAATTAAATCATTTGGCCCAGAAATAGAAAAGATGGCCTAGTATCATAGAAAAGAGCTGAAAATAAGTTTTGTGTTTAGTATAATATGGGACCAAGAAACCAAATCCAGTGGAGAAGAATAACACATCCTAGAGGAAAAAAAAGCTTTGTCATGATCAATATATTTCTTTTTCATTATGTTATCTTGTAGCTCAGTTACCAAGCTGCTCATGCTATGCAGCACTTGACTAATGAAAGTACAAGGGGTTATTGAAGTTTCCTGAATTCATGCCATAGTAGCAGTAAGAAGAGAAAGATTTCATACTTGTCTGCATAGCTAGAACATCTAAAAGCCAGAATGCCTCACTACCCCAACTCAAAATAGTAAATATAATTTCAGGATCAAAACTTTAAGAAAACAAATAGGTTGCAAATACCTTGAGCAGCCTGCAACCTTCCTCTCCTATAAAATTTTTATCAGTGTCATCCATCCACCCCCTAGACTTCAGCTGCCAGCATTCAAGCTATGCTCTGATATGACACAGCTGTGTAACAGGGACAAGGGCTCTGTGAGAACAGCTGTGAGAAGCCTTATCTTCTCCATCCACCCGCACACCTCTCTCACTTTGGCTTTCGAGCTGCATTTAAGCTTAGGCCTGTGCCCTAGTCCTCATGTGGCCTGAGTTCGAGGTATACCTGGCTTGGCCAAGGTGACTTCTTGGATAGACTCGGCTCCAACTGGTCAATATCAACTATCCTCATTCATAGTAAGAAAAAAAAATGTGGTCTCATACTTAAAATACATTTCACAGTCCCAGTATAAGGATCTTCCTTCTTTTTAAATATATTTGGACATACAATTGTTATGCTGGTTTTACATTGAGATAAACCTGGATTTCACAACAATTACAAAAGAAAGTATTTTGCTTTACCCTAAGAAAGTTCAAAGTTTTTTTTTTCTAATATTTTATATATTTATTTTCCAGGCACATTGGGTTTGACCTCATGTATAAGAAACAAAAGCCAAAGATAAATAAATTATACCCCCAGCTATTCACTGAGATCCTGGTACTTGTTTCTGTACAGTGAACAGGTTTAGAGTTCACAGGGTACTGCAGTTTACTTATGATGTCTCTGAATGGCGGAATAAGCACTGTTTTTCCTAGCACAAATGAATGTTTGCAATAGGACAAGGGGTAACGGTTTTAAACTAAAAGAGGGGAGATTCAGGCTGGAAGAAATTCTTTACAAAAAGGGTGGTAAAATATTGGCACAGGTTGCCCAGAGAGGCAGTGGATGAGCTATCCCTGGAGACACTTAAGGCCAGCCTAGATGTGGTTCTGAGCAACATGATCTAGTTGAAGATGTCCCTGGTCATGGTATGGGGGTTGGACTAGATGACCTTTGAAGGTCCCTTCCACCCCAAACCAAATGAATGTTGCTAAGAGCTTGTCTACTAACCTTCTCCAGCAGTACTGCAAAGAGCTTCTTTCCAGGACACGAGAGAAGTCATGACACATTTTCAAAAGGGTGGTAATCTGTATAACCACCAAAAAAAACATTTTCCCTATTAAAAAGTTAGAGAAAAACTTATTTTAAATACATTCATACACACATAGAATCATAGAATCAACTAGGTTGGAAAAGACCTTTAAGATCAAGTCCAGCCATTAACCCAGGACTGCCAAGTCTACCACTAAAACATACCGGCCTCATCCACACGGGGTTTTTTGAACACTTCCAGAGATGGTGACTCTACCACGTCCCTGTGCGGCCTGTTCCAATGCCTGACTACCCTTTTGGCAAAGAAATTTTTCCCAATATCCAGTCTAACCCTCCCTTGGCACAGCTTGAGGCTGTTTCCTCTTGTCCTGTTACCTGGGAGACCAGCCACCTCCTCACTCCATCCTCCTTTCAGGTAGCTGTAGAGAGCGATAAGGTCCCCCCTGAACCTTCTCTTCTCCAGACTAAACAACCCCAGTTCCTTCAGCTCTTCCTCATAAAGCTTACGCTCTGGGCCCTTCACTAGCTTCGTTGCCCTTACATACGTATGTGCAAAGAATAGACGTTTAGAAACGTCTCTTTCCGGTCTTAATGTCTCATTATGAGGATTAACATGAGGTCAATGCAAAAATGAGAATACCATGATGAAGTATTTCTCTAAAGTAGCAGGAACAACGCAGGTGCTTGCACGCAAAGACCTGGCAGAGGTGATCTCTTGAAAGGACAAGCTCCCCACAGGCCGCCAGGGTGAGCTCTCGCCCAGCAAATCCAAGCCAGAGCTGGTCCTTCCCGCCTCCCGTTCTTTCTCGAAGGAAGTGGGTGGAAAAAAACACCTTATTTAAAGCTTAATGCCTTGTCTTCAAAGCTTTTTGCATCTTGCTGCCTCGGTTCTTGAGCATGAGTGCCAGTGTGCAGAAATGCTGTTTCCCAATGATATGTTCAGATTTAGGCAGTCAGCTTTGTGGACACAGGCTCTACTCTGAGAACTTTCAACATACACTTTAGCGATAAGCAAGCTTGCAAAGCTCGCAAGAACAAGCTGGAAGCTATACCAACTCACCTGGGTGACGCTATGCAAACACTCTACGCTGCTGTGGCTGCTCTATGTTCCCCAAGTCCAACTTACACCTGCTGACCTGCACCAGCTGAAGGTCAACAGCACCTTATCAACAGTGCTTCTGCTGCCAGAGATACTCAGTCCATCCTCGGGGCACAGAGAGCAGAAGGGATATTCTTTACAGCACGGGTTTTCTGTGCCCATTTTGCTGCAGATGTCAACATGTCCTCTTCAGTTGACAGATGTGCCCTCTACATGCTGTTACACATCACAAGCAGAAGCTGCTGTGTAACCAAAGGTTGCTCATAGCAAATGCCACCGTTTGTGCACTCACGGGGGCCAGCTATTTCAAGCTAAGACTTTATTCGGCCATGGAGAATAGTAATTACAGATTAGAATAAGGCTTAACTATTTTGAGAAGACTAATATTCCCTGTGATACAGTTTTTATTTTTGGCTACAGAAATATGTTGCTGCAGGTGCAGATTTCCAGTGATACTGAAACTTACAGAGGTTTTAGCATTTGAAGAGTCAAGGAGGGTTTTATAATGATCAAAACATGATTATTTTATCCGTACAAAGATTCTTCTAGTTACAGTTCTTCATCTTAACAGATTTTGCCCTTTATTCTAGGCTCCTTAAAACGCATTCCAATCTGTCAATTCCTCTATTATGAGAATACAGAGCATTAAACTTCAAGGGACACCAACTTGCAGCCTTCAAAACTTCTTGACAAGGGGAAAACCCCGCAGATTACTGATGTTTCTCTAACAGTGCCAGCTGCAGTGCAATCATCAGCCTCAGGAGGAACAAGATAAAGCTGACTAAAGACCCAATATTACTTGAAGAACAAATGCTTTCCTCAAAACTTGGAGCAGAGCAGAAATAAAAAAGAAACATACTGGAAGTATGAGACTGATGTGGCAAAAGATACAGATAAGGGTTTTTCCTAATGTGATTGTGATGGTGCTGTGAACAACAGTCTTGCTGTTGAAAGAAATATTTATACCAAAAGTGCTTGCTGAAGGAACAATTTAGACCCCAATCCTGTAGATGTTTAAACACCAGCTCTGATCACGTGTGTAGTGTACCTAACATCAATGAATCTCTCATCAGCCTCCTAGGATTTGCATATCAGCGTAAGAATTAAGTCTCCTGCAAGTGTAGTGTCTGAAAAGTTAGGCATTTCAGACCAAGATCCTACAAGATGCTTTGGACCTCCTGGAAATTTCTGAATGTTAAATTCACAGAAAGCTGTAACTCACCTTAGATCTCTCTTCAGACACATGGGTCCAAAATTGTTGTCCCCAAAATGCTTCTGTAGCAGTTACCTAGCCTTGAAACTACCTAAGCTCAGTCAGCATCTCAGTTTTCATTCTAAAGTTTCCCAAGTACTGAAAGTCTCTTTTCTGGTACTGCAACTGCTTATCGTGCCAAGTAGTAACAAACCCAGCTCATTCCTGACCTTCACAAAACAAATTTCCCACCATTTTTCATACTGGAGTAATTTTGGTCCATAAACAAAGCCCAGAGCATAGTTAATAGATCAAGTTTGGTTTGGTTTGGTTTGGTTTTTTTTGAAGTGGAGACTGCTGCCCTTCTTCAGCTGGTATTCATAGCATTTCTATGCAGCTACACAGTGATTAAAATATTAATCCAAGCTCAGAGAAACTTCCATTCAATTTGTTCCCTCCTTTGGGTATTTATTCACCCTCATATCTCTCTCGACCCTAAATGGTGATCAGAAAATGGTGAGGAAAAGAAAAAGTTGAAAACATACAGGTAACTTGCAATATCTTTCATGGCAGTTGCTCCACTTTTTGTGATGAGTGATGGAGGATTGATTTGACTAAATGCAATAGTGCCCATGGCTCCCTGTAGATCTGGTTATGTGTTCCATATCCACTGCATTCAGGCCCTGAGGCATTCAGTCACTCAAGCTGATGAAGCATGTATAAAACATATGGAGTTCCTAAGAATGGCCACTTCACATCAGACCATTACCTTGTCTCCAGCAGCAGCCAACGGTGGATGCACTCTGGGCAAGAACAGAGAACAAGAGAACAAATCAATAAAAGCCCATACTGTTCCTGCCAGTGTTACTCAGCTCACTATTAATCTACTGGCTTAACTGGCTCTAGTCTGTGGGAGTGCCAGTGTTGTTTCATGTGCTTTGCAGGTTTTTATTCCCTATTGTTTCTCAGGAAATTATAAGTAAAATAGGTAGAGTGAGAGCACTGATATTACTGTAACAACTAAAAAGCAACATTCCAATTGAGTGTCATTGTTAAAAGTAATGTGTGCGTATGTAAGTTCTGCTAGCTGCAGAATGCTCATGAGAGGCTATCATGCTCAGAGGTTACCAAAGTATGGTAGGTGGGTGTGTATTTAGAAACATATGTTTATGAATGACACCTAATACCATGTTATTTTACAGACACTGTATTGTGTTTGTTACACTTGCACCAAAGCACCTTGCTTCTGCCTAAAGGATTCAGAGGTGAATTCCCGCTACCATAACCTCCAGATAGCAAAAGGATAAACTTGTCTGTTGCTCCAATCTTGAATACAAAAAAAAAAAACAATGAAATAAGCAATCCATCTCAGCAGGAAGTACCTGTTTCTGTGCACGTGGATATTTTCATAGTCCCTCTTATCTTGTAGTCAGTCCTGTTGGACCTCATAAACTCTTTCCTTCTGCTCCACATCTGTCATATCTATTGCCTGTTTTAGTTGAGGTCAAAGAGTCCAGGACAGATTCAGAGGAGAGGGAGCTGGAAAGCAGGCTCATGTCTAACCAGATCCAGGACTCCTACACCCCACTGCAGCCCATCAAACAGCTCTTTAGACAGCAGCTCACCACCACTGTCCATTGCCAGAGTTCAAGTAAGATGTTGTTTCTCTCAAAACTGTTCCTGTTGCAAATGGCACTCAAATTACAGAATGCAGAGAAGTAAGCCTTCATATTTCCAATGCATTATTATGTAAGAAAGATGGTACTCATTCAGACTGCATTAATTATTCTCAAAATCTCTTACACTTCTTTATCAAAAACAGCATGACAGCAACTGGCTATTTAGCAGTGACACAAATTACAGCATTTTTGTTATCCCTGAACAAAAATGGAACTTGCATTAGTTACAAATTTCAACTATGTCTTACAAGAGGCAATAGTCTGACAATGCAAACTCATTGTCTAGTTTTATGGCTTCCTTACATTGCACCTATGCACAGTGTCTTTACCTTATATAATGGACACCCCAGGGTGAGCCCACCACCATCAAACCAGGATATCACCTTCTGCTAGCCATAAACTGCTCTTTACCATGCTCTAGTATGGTGCATCCTGGATCTGATATAAGCTGATTTAACTACAGAGCATTTTGCTGAGCTAGAGAGTTAAATCAGCTCTGGAAATCATCTGTCGTATGCCAAAGCTAGTACAGTGACTGTCTCTCTATTACAGATGGAGCCTAGTCAGATTAGGGGGCTAATTTAGCTGGTTAAGTCAAATACCCCCAGTCAGGTCATACAAATTCTTCTCAGTTTATCTCTATAGCTATTTCTGGCAAAGTATTGCTTCTTGCTAGTTACAGCTTACAGCTGGAATCATGTGGCACGCTTCAGTGGGCTGACTTCCCCACAAGACACATGGATGAGCTGATAAGATTGCATTCAGATGAATGGAGAGGGGCCTGCTTTACTGTTTGCATGGCAGAAGGCGCTACCTGTATCCTGTTTCTCTTATCACCACATGCCCCTGAATTTTCAGCTAAGAGAGCAAGTACAGCACTTAAATACACTATTTCAACCATTATGCACACAGTCATCAAAGTATATCTCATTGCTTTACAGAACCCTTTAATGTAGTTAAGTCGCTGAAGAATGATTAGCTCCTAAGAGTTACACTTTTCCTTTGGTATTAAATCTTGAGAGGTGATACTCAGATTTCTTTTGAATGGCAGTAGTAATCAATGCAACTAAGGTCTTAAAAACTCCCTTTTTTAAGCAGAACTTAAGCTGAAATTAATATTTTTTCGGTGGAAATTCTACTCAGATTTGCTTAAAACATCAACAACAGTATTTAACAGTATGTTTATAGTTTTAAAGTATTTTGAGAAGCTTAATGTTCAAAGAAGACATTTTCTTCAATTGCTAACCTCCTTGTAAAGAGATTAAACTTTCTTTGTGAGAGTGTAAGTACTCAGCTGCTTCATTCTTGCCTATCACTTTTGTCCAGGGTAACCCAACTGGGCTTTCATGAAAGCAAACAGTGTAATTACATAAAGCAAGCAATGCCACTAACCACATTACACTTCTTACCAGTCTGACCACTAAATTCAAAGCACAAACACAGTTTTATCAAGTTCTGTATCTCCTTCAAAAGCAACATTCTACTTTGTATAACCATTAAGAGTAAAGTAACCAATAAAATTTGGATTCCACCAAACTTAATCTAAAATCTCTGTTGGTTTAGCATAGTCAATACTAGAATTGGTTTGCATTCCTACTACTCCAGAACTATGATTCAACAAGATTGTCACAAAGAATTACATTTTCCCACTGCCAGCAAAATGACTGCTGAACCAGAACTGCCATAAAAACCTATAAAAGCAACAATTCTACAAGAGATAAATTTACTCTGAATCCCTGTGTCTCTCAAATGCCTATTCATAGTCATAGAGCAACATATCACCCTGGGAATCATGTAGGATAGACGTAATTAAGAAATCAAATCCTGAAACCACTTGTAGGTGAGTTTTAGAAAAAGGCAAGCTTTCTCTGCTTAGAATAATGAAAATAACTGAATTGTATTTTCAATTAAGGCTACTCTTCAGGAAATAATTCTGAGTTCACAGAGGTGTCTGCAAAAACCTGACAGATGGGTTTTTTACTTACAACCCTGACCTTTCATACGTATCTTTCACAGTCATTCTCACATACATTTTGAGAGAGTAACTTTCCTTCTTATTTCTCTGAGAATTTGTGATCAGTGAAGCAGCAGCTTCTGAAGAACAGCTATTGAAACTGCAAAGCATGCAGAAAAGCTTCATGATTAAATAGGTCACAATCAAATCTTGGCCTTCTGGTTTTGGCTGAGATAGAGTTAATTTTCTTTGCAGTAGCTGGTATGTGCTATGGTTTGGATTTGTGCTGGAAACAGTTTTGGTAACACAAGGATGTTTCAGTCACCATTGAGCAATGCTTACACAGATCAAGGCCCTTTCTGCTCCTCACATCCCCCTACCAGTGAGCAGGCTGGGGGTGAACAAGAAGTTGGGAGGAGACAGAACTGTGACCCCAGCTGACCGTATGACATTGTGCTCAGTATATAAAGCTGGGGGAAGAAGAAGGAAGTGGGCTGATGGTTGAAGTTATGGTGTTTATCTTCCCAAGTAATGATTACACAGGATGTAGCCCTGCTTTCCTGGGGATGGCTGAACACCTGCCTGCCCACAGGGAGTGGTGAATGAATTCCTTGTTTTGCTTGTGTGAAAAGTAGGTATCTAGGTAAAACTTTTGCTTTACCTGTTAAACTGTCTTTAGCCTAGCACACAGGTTCGCTCACTTCTACTCTCCAGTTCCTTCCTCCATTCTGCTGGGGGAGGGAACAAGGTGAAGTTAAGGGCTGCTAATGGATAAACAATGGCCCCAAAGGTAGGCTGAGGAGTGCTAATAAACTCACTGGAGGATGATCTCCCAGATGAGCACTGGAGAACAGGAAAACACAAAAGACCTGCTGAGCACCCAGCTTGTCTTCTCCTTCATCGATACCGACACCTCCCCAGACGAGGCCGCGGGGAGGCTGGTCTGAAGCCAGTCAGTCTCCCTCACGGTCGTGTGAGGCACCAGAGACAACAGAAGGGAGCGGACAGCCAAAGCCGGGGAGACAAGGACAACGAACCGCGCGGAGAGCGAGGTCCCTGTTAACGGCGCCCGAACCCCACACCCCTCAAGCCGCGCAGCAGGGGGCGCCATGGAGAAAGCCGGTGCGGACTACAACTCCCGGCATGCAAGGCGGCGCACCCGTGCTTGCCGTAGGGCCGGTAGGACGGATCCCCTCCGCCGGGGCTGACGGCAGGGGCCAGTCGGCGCCGCACCTTCTCTGCCGGCAGGCAAGCCTGGCGCTACTCCGCAGCTCTGTATATGTTTGCGCCTCTCATAACATTTTGCTCTTCTTTAGTGCCCTGGTGGTTTGGCGGGGACCGCCATAACGGGAAGCGCCTGTTGCCACAGCAACCCTCCCCGCGGTAAACATCCCGGGTGCCCCCGGAAGTGGTCAGAGCTGGCCTCCCATGTGGATACTCCCGTTACCGCTCCCGGGCTTGGCCGCAGCGGCTGCGGCCCTCGCGGCCTCACCGTTAAACGTTAACGGTTTACTCACTAAAACCTAAAGGTAGGCCGTGCCGGTTAAACCCCTCCGCGGAAACGATTGGCCCATTGCCCCTCCGCCTGGCCAATCGGCGCCGGCCACGCTCTGTCCGCAGGAAACCGCACATGGAAAGCCGTGATTGGCGGTGATAGCTGCAGGCCCTTCCCTTCCAGACTCCCCATTGGCTGTATCTTTGGCGTGGTACGCTCCGATTTGCCAGCGGCGGAGCGGCGGCCCCCACCCTCCAGCGCCCCGCATTTATAAGGCGGAGGGGGGAGGGCCGCGGCCGCTCCAGCAGGCTCAGCGGCGGCAGCCGGTTGGCGGCAGGGCAGGAGCGCGCGGTAGGGGCGCTGGGGGTCGTTTTCGTGTGCGACCGCAGCCCACGTCGCTATGAAGCCGCTGTGGGGACTCGTTCTGGCGTGTACGCTGCTCCTGGCCGGTGAGTGCCCGCGGACTTCTAGAAGCTTCTGGCGAGTGGTGGCTGGGGGCGGGGAGAGGCTGGGGGTCGGCCAGTAGTTCCCCCCACACCTCTCCACGCACTCCCCCACCCTTTCCCTAGGGTAAGGGAGATGGGGCCCACGAGAAGCGCGGTGGGGCCCTTGGTGTCTGAGGGGCGGGGGCTCCCCTCTTTGCCGTCTCCGCCGCTCTCCCCGAGAGCGGCGCTCAGTCTCCTGCTATGCTCTCCCCAGGCTGCTGCCAGCACCTCTTTCCGCTGACTGGGGTGGCAGG